CACAATTCATGCATTATGGCTGCGAAACTTTATTTCAGGACTTGGGGTTGTCGACACCATTACCAAGCCGCTGAAAATTTACTGTGATAATTCTGCAGCAGTATTCTTCTCCAAGAACGATAAGTACTCCAAACGTGCCAAACATATGGAATTAAAGTACTTTACCGTAAAGGAGGAAGTTCAGAAACAAAGAGTGTCACTTGAGCATATTAGAACTGATCTCATGATTGCAGATCTGTTAACGAAAGGTTTACAGCCAAAGATATTTAAAGAACATATACATATAATGGGTCTTGGTTGTATTTATGATTGATGTATTTATGATGTTTTGACACTCTGAGCTCATTTATGTGTTTCTGATATACATTAATGGTTTCCTGTTTCTCATAATAGCGTGCACATTATTGTTTTGAGATATTACATGATAAGTCTCAATGAGACATTATTGTGGACCATAATATTTTATAGCTTATGAACCTGATACGATAAATTACTAATGTTGTAGTATATGGAAGGGAGTATGTAGACAATTTATATATAACCGCCATAACTCACATTTGTTAGTTTATCGTATTGTAGTATTTATGATGGACATAATAGAAGAGATTTATTTATACACAACTAATGTTCCTATATTAAATATTAATATTATGTGATTATAGGGCCAAATGGGAGAATGTAAGTTATTTTCTTACGTGTATGTGGCACAATAGGTTTAAGGCCCATAATTAATATTTAATTAATTATCAAATCTCATCCGTCCGATTGGTTACTTGATGGACGTACTAGATTAAGTGAGAACCTCTATAAATTGGTCCTCTCCCCACCCATTAGGGTTACCGTATTTTATTTCTTTCCTCCATCACCAAAGGAGGCGGTAACGAAAGCTAGGGCAAGGGGCGAGAAACCAATTTCAATTAACGCTTCCGCTTCACGGTGATGACTTATGATTCTCTGATGTCTTCTGTAACAATTTTTGTGTAAGATTATCATGTTCAAGATCTTGGTATGCAATTAAAGTTTATGTTTACAAATTCATGTCGACATTTTTGATTAATTACGTGAGGACATTGTGTATTTTTTCTTTCTGTTGCATACGTGTACGAAATATCGGTGTAGACAATTAAAATTTTATTAAATTTAAGTCCACAAGTAATTCGGAAATTATTATATATTAAATACATATTAGTCCAAATAATACTATGTGCTAGTATAATCGGGTCGATTATTTAAATTTATAATAGATTGATTTAAATATAAGTTCAATATATTATTAGGTTAGCTCGTCAATTGGTCTTCTATGAAATGGGGCGGCCCATGAGCCTCAAGTCAAATGGCCCAGTAGAATTTTCTTAGAGGCTACTCTACCCTACATCTAAATAAAGGGGTCAAAGGAGAAGGCTAGAAGACACCAAGTAAGCACAAGGAAAGGCTAAAGAAGCTCCGAAGAATAGCATCAAGATCTTCCTCCGCACGGAAGGGCTTCAAATCTTCCGTTTGTGACAACCCACACCAAATCCTGGTTCGTGACGATCTTCAAATTATTCGTGACGTACCATAAATCTGAAATTTGTCATGTTCAAGATCAAGCTCTTAAACCATCTTTTGTGAGAAGAAGAATTAGAGGACTACATCTTTTTAGATTTGAGATATACTTGAGATTGTAACCCCATTACTTAAAATTAAATATTATATTTGTCGCTATATTTCTTGTCTAGATTATTATTTTTCAGGAACGAAATTTAGTTGTTGCAACTGCCGCATATAAACAGCAAAAAAAAAATGTTTGCAGCTTTGACTGGATAATGTGAATGGTACGTACTGCAACCGTCTTGTCTCACGGTATAGACAACGGTTAGAGGAAGGAGCTATCTGATGCAAATGCTGCAAAAGACTCGAATATATCAGAGAAAGAGCAAGAAGGATAGATAAATAAGACATTGATGAATATTCCCGGCAATGCTTTTGTAGAAAGAAACAAAGATAAACATGATGTATAGCAGGAAAGCCAATGCTTTCAAGACAGGGCCAGGGGAAATTAATGAGACAACTCTATAGACAAATTTCAGTGAGAAAGAAGAAATCTAATTTTTTCATTAAAGTTTTTTTGGTTTATTGGCTTGTGGGGAGATAGAATGGGAATTTGGATCTCGATATATAACTACATAAGGATGATGTTAGTAGTGTTTTGCTTTGGTGTACCTTCATGCATGTTTCATTTGAAAAAGTTAATATTCGTACTCAGTGCCGAAGTCAAGAATTTATATATGGGAATTTGTAACTAAAAGCAATTTTTGAACTCCTTTTTATCATTAAGCTAAAAGTTTCCCGAGTGCCATTAAGTAAAATTTTATTTTTATACTCAGAAAATATAATAATATCATAGTAGATAATTAAACTTGTAACTAAAAACAACTTTTGAACTCCTCTTTATCATTAAACTAAAATTTTACCAAGATGTCAAGTGAATTCAACGTTTTTATTCTTTTGTAGAGTAGTATAATTTTTTAACGAAAAAGGATTCAAGTGAACCCTTTTCCACTTATTAACTCCACCAGTTCACACCTGAAAGCATTTTTCATTACCACATTCTTTCCATCCTTCAAACAATAACCTCCAACACCTGAGGCCATGCTTCCAATTCCCGATCACAGCTACAGGTCAAATAACTTGAACTCCCAATTCCTGGATCAGACCAAGTAGCCAAGTGACTTCAGTAACACCTGAGGCCATGCTTTTATACTCTACTTCAGCAGAACTCCTGGATACAATATGTTATTTCGTGGACTTCCAGGAGATCAAAGAATCCCCAAATATGATGACATAACCTGTTACTGACCTTCTAGTGTTTGGGCAAGCAACCCAATTTTAGTTGCACCAGCATGTTAAAGTGTAATTTGATTCTTCTTTAAGCCATACTCCTTGACCTGGTGCATGCTTGAGGTATCTTACAACTCTAACTGCAACCTCCCGGTGTGACTTATTTGGATGAATTGGTTCAAGGCTTGAACTGCATAACTAATGTCAAGCCTAGTGATAGTTACATACGTTAACTTACCAACAAGCCTTTGATAGAGACTGATATCCTCTAAATGTTTGTCATCTGTAGCTCCAATGGCAGCATCAAACTCCACTGTAGTGAGCTTTAGATTTGATTCAAGTGGTGTACCGGCTGGTTTGGCTCCACTGAAGCCCAGCTTAGAGATTAGCTCTAGCACATATTTCCTCTAATTTAGGATGATGTCATATTTGGATCTAAGCACCTCAATGACCCAAAAATACTTGAGGTCTCCTAAGTCCTTCATTTTGAACTGTTGATGCAAGACTTGCATAGCTTCAATGATCAACTATGAATTGCTGCCGGTGATCAGCAAATCATTAACATAAACAAGGATGATCACTATATCTTCCTGCTTCTTCAGAGTGAATAGAGATTAGTCATGAGTGCTTTGAAAAAATCCTGCACTTAATACGGCATATGTAAGCTTGATGTTCTAATGCTTAGAAGCCTGTTTGAGCCCATATAAGGACTTCACCAATTTGCACACTCTCTGCCCCCCTGACTTCTGAATCTTTCAGGTATTTTCATATACATTTTTTCACAAAGATCACCTTGCAAGAAGGCATTATATACATCCATTTGACATAAGTTCCATCCTTTTGATACTGCTAAGGCTATCACTGATCTTATAGTGACCATTTTCACAACAGGTGAAAATGTGTCATGATAATCCAAGCCCTCCTGTTGGCTAGATCCCTTGGCCACCAACCTTGCCTTGATCCTTTCAACTTTACCATTAGCATGGTATTTGGATCCCGCTACATGTATTCCTTGAGGCAGTGGTACTACTTCCCAAGTAGGATTATCTTCTAGAGCCTTGATTTCTTGCTTCATGGCTTCTATCCACCTTTCATCTTTAGCTGCCTGCTTAAAGGTTTGAGGTTATACCAGATTGGAAAATTTAGCCAAATAGGACCAGATATTGAGTAGTGGTATTGTTGTAGGATAGATAGTTGGTTATGGGATATCTGTTAGCATTCTTCCCGGTTGACATATAGTCTTTCATCCATATTGGTTGCACATATTGCCTTTTGGACTTTCCAAAAATGGAGGGATCTTATGAAGGTGAAGAAGTACATGTTTCCGCATTGTCTCCTGAAGGTGTATGTGTGCTTGCCCCAGCATCTGAGTTTGGAAAGTCCGCTACTGAAGCATCTTGAGAATCTCCATGACTGCTAGTCTCAGCAAGGTGGCCAAGAAAAGGATCTTCAGCTACATCAGTGTCAGCTGCATCATTGGCATTCTGAGCATCAGAGGATAGTGCAGCATCTGCAACCTCAGAAAGTGAAGTTGAAGCTCTAGTAGAAGGTTGTGTATTACATATTTGTGCATGAAATATCTCAGGTTCCTACATAAGAAAATCAGCATCTGAAGGGAATTCAGAAGTTTGTGGTTGTGCAAAGGGAAAGACCGACTCCTTGAACACAACATCTCTGCTCACAAAGAAGTGCTTGGTACTCAAGTTCAACAATAGATAACCCTTCTGTGTGGTAGAATAACCCATAAGAACACAGGCTTTGGCTCTTTCAGCAAACTTATCACCTTTGGGAATCACTATTGTATAGCACAAGCAACCTATCACTCTCAAATGTGTGAGAGAGGCTTGTCTCCCATATAGTAGTTCAAATGGACTTTTTCCTTGTACAACACTAGAAGGCAGCCTGTTCAACAGATAAACTACAGCTTGTACACAGTCCCCAATATCTAATAGGTATTTTGGCTTGAAATCTTAAAGCCTTTGCCATATCTAGTATATGCCTATGCTTTCTTTTCACAATGTCATTCTGTTGTGGAGTATGAACACTACTGCTTTGATGCATAATTCCTAAGTCCTGAAATAGCTTAGTGCATTGTGAATTAAAGAATTCAGTGCCATTCTCTGACTTTATTGTTTTAACCATTACTGCAAACTGATTTTTGATCAACAACAGGTAGTTAGTTATAGCAACTATGACTTCAATTTTCAATTTTAACAAAGAAATCTAAGTAAATCTACTGTGATCATCCACAATGGTCATGAAATAGTATTTTTTTTAAACCAAAAATAGGAAAGGCCACCAAAGATCTATATGTACAAGATGAAATGGTGTTGCATCTCTAGAATTACTTATAGGAATTTTTAACCTAGTCTGCTTAGCAAGAGGACAAATTGGGAAATGATTCGGTAGTGAACTATTTATATTGTGACTTAGTAAACTCATACTCTTCGTATATGTGATGGAGGGATTCCCTAGCCTCATATACCATAGCTTGCAATCTTCCTTGTTTGTAGTTTCCACTAGAACATGTTTCTGAAACTTATTCTTGTCATCCTCAGACCTGAAAATGTAAAAACCAGCTGACTCCTTACCAATCCCCTTTACCCTACCACTACATAGGTTCTGAAATATACAGAAATCAGGAAAAAAGCCACAAAGCAGGAAACTGCTCTGGTTTTTTTTGAGATAGATAAGAGGTTAAATTTAAAGTCAAGTACATGAAAAACATTTGAGATCATCTCTCCTTTAAAAATAGATGTCTGACCAATATAGGATATGTCCATCTTATCTCTAGTAGGTAGATTAACCTTATCCCTAAGAGAAGAATCTACACTAGTGCCATTTAATATCATGTCCAAACTTGCAACTATATGGTGAGTAGAACAATCCAGTCATTTTTATGAACCTGTGACATGAAACATGTAGCATTACCTAGCAAATTTGCATGACTCTCCCCAGTATCCTTGTTTAGCAATGCTAAAATCTGTTGATACTGCTTATCAGTGAAAAATTTGCTGCAATCGGTTCCTTTCCCTCAGTGTTTGACTATGTTGGCAATTGAACTCCCAGACTATATTATCCATGGCTGTTAAAGCTTGCTGTTGTTATGGTCTCCTGTAATGACCCCCTTGTTGAGTCCCAAAGCCACCAACACCCTGTCCAAACTTCTTATTCTTAAAGTCTGCAGAGTATCCTATTAACTTATAGCAGTTCTCCTTGGTATGTCCTTTTAGGTTGCAACATTCATATTGCATATATAAGGTCGTTTGCCTTTGTAGCTTTGTCCTTGACTAACTTGCATAGCCATTGGATCTGACTTGATTCCTATTGCAGTCAAACTAGGTAATTGTGAGCTTCATCCTCAATAATTATAGCATATACTTGATTAAGTGAGGGAACACTGGACTTCAACAAGATCTGCCTCTTGGCTTGATCGTATGAGTCATTTAAGCCACTAAGGAATTGTAATAACCTCTGTTGCTGCATATGATCCACATAATCTTTGGAATTGGGAGTTGGCACTATAACATCATACTCATTCCATAGACTCTTCAATTTTGTGAAATAAGTAGATACAAAGTTAGTACCTTATGACAGAGTGTGGATGGCTTTGTGTAACTGGAAAATGCGCATGCGATTGCCGTTATCGAATCTCTCTCTCAGATCTTCCCAAACCAGTTGAGCATTCATAGCATATGCAATTCCACTCAAAAGTTCTGTAGATACAGTGTTCATCAGCCATGAAAGTACAATAACATTACAAGTTTCCCATTGCTCATGCAATTCTGCTTTGCACGACTCCTTTGTGCAAGTACCATCACAAACCCTAGCTTCCTTTTCCCTAAAAGAGCAATCTTCATCGGTCGACTCCAAAGTCCATAGTTTTCAGATCCGGTAAGCTTAATCAGAATCAAAACCCCGCTAAGAGTGTCAGAAGGTCCAAGATATAATGGATGAGTGTATGCAAGTGCTGGCTCCTCAGTTGTCGAGTCAGTCACCATTTTCGCACCACAAAAAGCTAGAAAAGGAAGAAGTAATAGGAAGCTGTGCAAGAGGAAAAATGAAATCAGATTACACGAGCAATCAACATCGGCTGCTATGATATCATGAAAAAATGTGGAGAAGAACGAAGCTCATCCATGGAAATGCTCAGGCAGAAATTGGAGAAGAAGAGAAAGTAATTTGGGAAATGAATACTGTTTTTATTATTTCTGATACAGTACATGTATATATACAAAGTGTAACTAACCAACTAACTAGTGACAACTAATAACCGACTAACTAATTAGCTAACAACTTCAATATAAATAAGCCACGTGTACATTTGTTATGATAATATAATTAATTCCTTATTTCAGCTTGAAATGGCTTATCATGTATCAATCCATCCTCTTCTTATACTATTTATAATTTCCATAAATATTAAGACCAAAAACAAATAAAGAAGAATTAAAATTTCACTATGCTAGTGTTATTTGGTTAATTACAGTAGGTAAATGTCCTTAACTAAGATTGTCCTCGTAATCAAAAGTAGACAACCAATTATATTAAAAAAATATTATACCATTCGCGAAATCAACAAATAAAAACTAGTACTGTACTTGAGAATGTTTAGGATTATAAATGTATTTCTAGGATCTAGGCCATTTTGGGCGATTTTACATCACAAGAGCCTTCTAGCATGGAGCAGATTTCCACTTCTTGTTGTAAAAATAGCATAGGCTAGCCAGTTTTCGGACTGGTCATTCAAAAATAGCCAGTGTTCGCAAAGTCATTGAAAAATAGCCACTATTTTACTGCAACACGAAAAGTTCGCATAATATATCGGAGATCGGTGCACTCACGCGAAAAGTTTGTAGTATAATATACTAGAACTCCAGTATAATATACTGGAGTATTTTTTCAGATTTTGAACAGTATTTTTGTTCAGATTGATCTTTACATGAAAAGTGGCTAAATTTCGATTACTTTTGAAACTGTGACTATTTTTAAATGACCAAGGGTAAATATGGCTATTTTTAAATTTCTACCCTTTTGGTTGGGAACTCGATTCTCCACCTTAGCATAAGTGATTAATGATAAAAGCCCAAAATAGAAGAGCAAGATAGTTGGTTCACAATATGGTCTTATGATCTTCTAATCGACAAACCCACTTTTGTAAAATTAAAGGCCCAGTTCCAATATTCTGCTACTACTTATTACGAAAACAACCAGAAATTGTAAAAAGTGAATTGGTTACATCATATTCTATGAGGAAAAAATTGACTAGACATATAGGTCACGGGTTCGAGCTATGGAAGCAGTCATTAATATTTACATTAGTTTAGGCTGTTTACATCATACCTCTTGGAGTGCGGCCCTTCTTCGAACCGTGCGTAAACGTGGAATACCTTGTGCACCTGCCTGTCCATACTCCATGAGGAAAAAAAATTCGTTTCTTTCATGGTTATATATTTTCCTTGAAATATGGTAAAGTTATCAAAGTGAAATTAAGTTTTGGTCACTTGGAAGGTTGATATCTCAATTAAGACTAAACCACCTCCACCCACGACCGTTAGGTCTTGAGTTCGAGTCACGCTAGAGGGAAAGTGTGAAAACACTATAGATTCTCTTAAATTGGGAGGGATTTAAAAAAAAAATTGTAATATGTGTTTACATCAAACTATTATAAAAAACAATTGCTTTTCTAAAATTTAATTTGCTTCAGAAATAGTATACTTTTATCCAACAACTAAAGGCACTATTTACATATTAAAGTTATTTAGTGTATGGGAATCATTTCCTCATTTAATTTCTCCATAGATGGACCAAATGGAGAAAGCTGAAATATGGTAAAGTTCGGGATGTTACCATTTTTAACCATGCGGCTAAAAATATTTTCACCCACGTAGCCATAACTGTTTACAGCTATCGCTCTTTGTATGCTTAGTGTATAATACAATCAGTGTACAATAAGTACATAGTCAGTGTATAAATATATACACATAAATTATACTGGTTATAATTTGTATAAAATATAAATTGGGATTAATTTTTGTCGTGGGTTTTGTTGGCCGTTATAAGAGAGGATGAAAAATATGGTGCCACTATTGAACTTTTTTACCCTATTAACACAACTTAAAAAGACTCATGTCAGAATTATAAAATACGTTGGACAGAATTTTCTCCGATTTCCATAATTCTAAAGCATCCTACGCAGAATTTCAGCAATTATGGTAATATTCATAATTTTTCTACATATACTGAGGGATAACCAAAATTTTATAGTATTCTGCCTGAAAAATCTGACAATTATTAGAATTTCTAGTACCTCAAAATTCTGGTGAAAGTCAGAATTTTATAGTGCTTCAAAATTTTGGTGAACGTGCTTCAGAATTCTGATGCAAATGTTATTTTCTAAAAAAGTTTAAACTGGATCAAAATATAAATAGTAATTTAAAATAAGTCCATCCAGCATTTTTTTGCAGTGTAAAAATTCCAAAGAAAAAACTATGGAGTGGGCAAAAATGAAAAAAACAGTTAGCTAGGAGAAATATTAGATAAGTAAGTAAAATTTTTGTTGGTTGTCCTTTTCTGTATCAGCTGTTTAGTAAATTATCCTCTTTATTTTTCTTGCAATTGGAGAACCTTTTAGAGCACGGTCTAAGTATCTTTTCTAGCAAACTATTTTTTTCTTTTTTTGAAAAACGATAGACTACAGTCTAATATTTTATTAATTATATCAAATGTTGGACCATAATTTAATATTTTGTGAGCAAACTGAAAGCTATATAAGCATACATTAGATCCTAATGGATAATTCCCAGGGGTTATACTTGTGCAACTCTACAAAATAGAGTCAAAATTTAAATTGTGACCTAAAAATGGGAATCAGCCGATAAGTATGGATACCTGTATGGGCTCATTTATCGCGACCCAAAGTACAACTTAGTGCAAACCTAGCCCAGTAGCCCATAAGCTTCATACGGCCCCCCTCCTCTAAAACCCTAGTTTCCCTTCTTCTTATTTCATTTCTTCCTCTATCCCTTCATAGAGTGAGCAGAGGGCCAAACTGAGAACGCCGAAATGGGTCGTGTTATCAGAGCACAACGTAAGGGAGCAGGCTCCGTTTTCAAATCCCACACTCACCACCGTAAGGGCCCTGCCAAATTCCGTTCGCTCGATTACGGTGAACGGAACGGTTACCTTAAAGGTGTGGTCTCAGAAATCATACATGACCCAGGTAGGGGTGCACCGTTGGCACGCGTAACATTCCGTCACCCGTTCCGTTACAAGCACCAGAAAGAGTTGTTCGTTGCTGCTGAGGGGATGTACACTGGTCAGTTTATTTACTGTGGTAAAAAAGCTAATCTAATGGTGGGTAATGTGTTGGCACTTAGATCTATCCCTGAAGGTGCTGTCGTTTGTAACGTGGAACACAAAGTTGGTGACCGTGGTGTTTTTGCTAGATGCTCTGGTGATTATGCTATTGTCATCAGTCACAACCCTGATAATGGAACTACTAGGTATCTTCGACCTGTTTATGAATTCTTGATTGATTTTTAGTCATTGGTTATTGTAGTTTTTATTTCTGTGTTGGATTATTGGAAAGGTTGAAGGTGATTTTTTGTTGGATCAATTAAAGGTCGAGTGAATATAGTTAAGTAATTATTGGGCTGTATAAATTTGAATTGATTTAGTATTGGAATGAATTGGCTTTACTTGGAGTGGAACGGTTGCAAGGGTTTAACAACTAGAATTTAAGCACGAAATACACTAGGATAGTTACCTGTTATGGGTGTGGTATAGTAGGGTAGCAGGCACCTGGCCCGACAATGAATTTGATAAATAATTTTTGGCTTTATATGCAATTAGTGTATGGTGAAACACTTTCAGGGGTACTGATGATACCTTTTCACCGAGCAAAACAGCTCATTAACAAGCTTTAAGAGCGTTTGAATTGGAGTAATTAGCTTGGCTGGTAAAGAGAATTACTGTTTCTTCATTTGCACTATTTTTCAAGCTACAAAAGCGTCTTATGTAGTGTGGCACTATTCTTTTTTTTATTTTATGTGGATGTGTGATTCTGTTCATTGAACTGCTTCAACTGGAAGTTCATGTGTTTGCATTTGATGATGGAGATTAACGGTTAATTTACCATCTCCAGTAACAAATGAAGTTTATCTTTTTACAGTTCCAGAGTTTATCCATTATCGAATATGATTTGTGATGTGTTGGTCCCGGTGTGGTGATGGTTAGGTGTAGGAAATTCAGGTTCATAATGTTGGCGAGACTTAATTCTTCCTTCCATTCACACTAGAAGGAATATAATAATCTGTTTCTTTTATAGTAGTGAAGAATGTGTACTATGAACTTGCCTTGATTATACCAATGTGTACTATGAACTTGCCTTGATTATACCTAATTGCATACTTGTTGGCGTAAATTTCATTGATTTTTAAACTTTCTTTATTGGTTCCTTTTTTCTTTACACATAAAACTCAGCTTAGATTAATATGATTGCTGCATTGATAATTGACGAGTCTTTGACATTAATGGTTTGTTGTGGAGTTTTGATTGTCATATTGTCATTACTAAGTCTAGTAGTCTATAGAGGTGATTTTTCATTGTTACCTTTCCCAAAAAAGTCTATAGAGGTGATTTTGAAGTTTGTTTGACTATAGTTAACTCTTTTTTTCTTTTCAGGATTAAGCTTCCATCTGGAGCAAAGAAGATTGTGCCCAGTGGGTGTAGAGCCATGATTGGCCAGGTTGCTGGTGGAGGAAGAACTGAGAAACCAATGCTCAAAGCTGGAAATGCGTACCACAAATACCGGGTTAAGAGGAACTGCTGGCCTAAGGTTCGTGGTGTTGCTATGAATCCTGTGGAGCATCCTCATGGTGGTGGTAACCATCAACATATTGGTCATGCCAGCACTGTCCGCCGTGATGCACCACCTGGACAGAAGGTTGGTCTTATTGCTGCAAGGAGAACTGGTCGTCTTCGTGGCCAAGCTGCTGCTACTGCTGCCAAGGCTGATAAGGCTTAAGATATTGAGTTTGTTACTTTTTTCATTGTCGTATTCTGATCGGATTTGAGACCGTCTTTATACTAAGTTTTGTTTGGATATTATTTAGTAAGTTTTGTTTAGGAACACTCGCTTGGACAAGTTTGCCATTTATAAATGTGTTTTAGCTTGGCTCTCTTTATGTTTCCCTTTTCTTCACTGATTTGATTCTTTTGAAGTTCGTTTGGTGCACCAGTTCTTAAGTTGGTTCTGTTTACATGTCCTAAGTATTTTTGAGGGATGGCCTCTTTTTCGAATTTATCTGTACTGACCGTGCTTATACTAAGCATGGAAGTCAGAATAGGGGTTGTTCAATCCAGTGTGAGACTTTGTGATGATGCTATGTTTGTGCATTTGTGTATACTTGAAATGCTCTTCTTTTTGTTTAAACAGTTTCTTTCAAATTTCATAGTAGCTATTTTTCATGAGGATTAGGGTCTCCAAATGTTGTATTCACACGTTTTCAGGAAGAATGACTGATTTGATGAGCCATATCCGTTGTCTTTCTTTCCTTTTCTTTAAAAAGGGTATTCTGTGAATGCTCTCTGTCCGATAAGTACGGTATTCTATGTGTGCATTCTAAAAATATAGTTTTTGGTTAGTATATAGTTTAAGTGCACTAGGTGAAATGTTATATTTGGTTAGTCTTCTCTTTCTTTTTTTTGGTAACTAAAATCTTATTAATCACCAAAGTATCAAATACAAGACCACAGCTATAGCAACACGCTAAGCTATCTAGGACAAAGAAGCAACACACTAAAGCACACCTTCAAGGGAGGGTTTCTTCACCCCTCAGGGAAAACTTAATCTACAAAGAGAACTTTCAACACAGAAAACTACAAAACAACTAAAATAAACACTGCTGAAGCAATCCCCTAACTCTGGATAAGTGTAGGCCTAGCCATACTGTCCCAATCTCTGCTAATCTTCTCAAATATCCTCTGCTTCCTTTATATGCAAATAGCATGAACTACTTTAGCATATACCATCTTGAACACCTGAGCCGCTTGAGATTTCCCCTTAGTATTTCTGTTAGTCCAGCTTATTTGCTGATCCCAGTTGACTGCTGCATAAGGCTTTCCTCTCAACCAGGTCAGTATCCTATTCCAAAGAGTTCTAGTTGCAATACACTCTACAAATAAATGATTCTTTAATTCACATTGAGCCTGACAGAATATACACATTGGATCAACACTTAGCCCCGACTTAGTCTATCAGCAGTAAGAAGCTTGCCTTGAAGCTGCACCCACATTGTGAATTTAGCGTTAGGTCTAGCCTCTTTACTAAACATCAAAGCATTTCCAAACCACCCTGTTAGTATCCCGAAGCAACTGAAAGTGGATCTGTCTAATTAAGTTCTTACCCTCCCTAGCAGTGAACTGAACTTTAGAGATAAAGGAATGAATCCGATTTCTTTTTGCTGATTCATTTTGTCATTCATTTAGGTGGCTAATATGTAAAATCAATAATTTTCTTTCATTTATATGAGCAAGATAACTAAAAATATAAGTTTTGGAAAAATAGAGGAGACGCAGGAAAAGTATAAAAATATTACTAACATAACTCAAAACTTTTGACATGTTGAAGCGTTTCCTCAGACAAAAAATTCTATTGAAACAAAACTTGCCTCTCTAAATGCTAAGAGATTGTTATTCTCAAAAAAGAATTGCTACAGAAGAGACTACAGACTAAATAGGACTTCTTTTTTTCCAAGACTAAATAGGACTTCAGTTTCAATGTACATACAGGTTTCTGAATGGTGTGCGGTATGTTCATCTGAGGGTAAACTATGAGGTAGCACTATGTGGTTGGAGCTGCTTTAGATACACGGTCTCTACTACTGCGTTAATCCTCTTCTTCTGATGCTTCTTTGAGCCATCAGATAAAGTTTTCGGATTGGTTGACAAAAACCTTATCTGAATTAGGGGTGACAAACAGGCGGGTCGGGTCGGATATGAGCGAGTCAAAGCAGGTAATTTAAAAAACGGATAAATTATCCGATCCGACCCGTATTTGAGACAGATAAAAACGGGCCTATCCGGGGATAATACGGATATCCATATTATCCACGGCTTCTTAAATATGATCACTTGTGAGAGAATTCGTAGTTTTCCAAACTTGAGGAACTCCAATTTGAGGCTTTACAAATGTAAAAGTTAAACACATTAGTTATACATTTGGTTAACCATTTTCTAAGTGAATAATATGGTTCTTTATCCATATTCGACCCGTTTTTAAATGGTTCATTATCCAACCCATTTTTTGATAGATAATATGGGTGGATAACTGTTTTCTTTTAACCATTTTGCCACCTCTAATCTGAATCTTCTGCTCCTTCCTAGCACCAAGTTCTTAACTGTTTCACAGAAGAAACATCAAAAGACAAGCCTACTTGAATGAAGTTTATCAGAGGAATGACTTCTACTTGAATGAAGTTTATCAGAGGAATGACTCTGTATTCTTCGCTACAATTGGAAATTTCGTCATCCTTCCACCCCTTATCACTTTAGAAATTGCAATTGTGACAGGTTATGTGCAGCTATTTCCATGACTTGTTTAAATACTTTGTACAAAGATCCACTGTTTCTATTACAAATATTGTGAAACTAAATAAATTTGTGAAAGTCCTGTTAATTCTCGAGATGAATGGTCTTTTGGAGTTGTTCATTAACAGATCATTGCTAGTGGGCACTTTTCTCTAGCTTGAGTCTTTTTCGTTGTAGGTGTCACCACAAGAACTAGAGCTGGATAGAACTAGCTGCATATGTTGTGATGGTGTTGGATATTCTTTAACTCATTGATTGAACCTCTCACGAGTCACAATAGTGAAACCGGTTTTGTTTGGTGTAACTTCAGATAAAACAATTCGTTAGATTTCCACATATATCACCAATGCAACGGTAGTTACAAAATTTAAACCACATGTAAAAAGGTGGCCCCAAAATTCCTCATATTAATTGCTATAATGCTCTACATTGATAGTACTACACAGAACTCTCATATTTGTTTTTGAATTTGTCAAAATTGGAAAGAATTTGAGGGCCTACCCTCCCAAAGCAAAAGACTCTCTGCTTTCTTCAAACCTCATCATACCAATATTAGAACAAATTAAAACAAACAGTATATTAGTAGTCCACAACCTTATTAGCATGCAACTCCATTAACTCTCTTAGACCATCTCTAGATCGTGCATAAACCTTGGAACTGCGCCTTTCTGTTGCAACTGCATGATGATCTTGTGCGAACTTAAACTCTGAAAATACAAAAACCGTTTCTGCTGAAGAGAGTATCAATCACATTGTTTTTATTCTGCTGTTATATAGCTTTTTGGTACTGTCCTTCTTGTCTATATTTTCATTAATGGGGTGCTTATGCTTTCCTGACCCGAGGGTCTATTGGAAACAATCTCTCTATCTCACAAGGTAGGGGTAAGGTCTGCATACACACTACCCCTCCCCAGACCCCACGGTGTGGGATAATACTAGGTATGATGTTGTTGTTGTAGAATATCAATCACATTCTTCGAAGTCTCAGGTGTCAATCGAAATCCTTCCCAATTTATATGCGAAGCCCTATCAGAACATGTTAAAACTCCTTTCTCTCCACACTGCTTATGCGGATCAAAATTAAACGGACCGCTTCCAGTACTACTGCAACAAACCTTCATCAATGTCTTAGTCTTGAATCCCAAGAATGCATTGATTGCGAAGAATAGACATAAATGCCTTGTAATAATCCACATATATAATCTCAACTTCAGGGTACTTCAATCGCAACTCCTCCAACGCTTGCCACGGATGATCATTGTTACAATCAGATGACTGTTTTTGACATGATAATTTGCTAATAATTCACTTCCATTTTTTTCCGTTTCTATGTCAGGTTGTACGTCATAGCGCCTATGCTAATGACCCATATGCCAAGGAGTTTGGTATTAAGATTATTGACAAGTTGGCACAAGTTGAGTCTCCTATTTTGCCTCCACTTCAGGTAAGTTAGGCTCCTCGCGGCTTTTCAAAAAAATTGATTCTTCTCATGGTTGAGGTGGGATGGTAGTACTACCCCTGAGTATACCATTCTTTCTTAAATTTGATTTGTGGAGTGAAAAAGTTTATTTTAGTTAGGATTTCAGTAATGAGTATGTCTTTCTGCAGCTTAAGTATCATGATACGGTCGAGAAAAAGACTGTCTGCCACAAGTTGGCCAATGGAATATGATGAATAAGGTATCTAGTACTGTTAACACTGTTTAAATCTTGTTTCATCTGTTTGTTTTTCATTTATGTTCAGTTAATCGGCACCTACTGGTGTGTACCGGTAGAAAGCCCGCGTTGCATTTTCCTTTCAATATTTTGATTCAGTGAAAACCTTGGAGGTGCATGCACTGTTAGTACACACCATCCTGGCATTTTTTGTGGGATTCTTGAGTGGCTATTGTTCTTTGTTCAGCTAAGACTAACATTGTATCTTTTACTATCGGCAGAAAAGGGTAAATAGAAGAACGGTTAACAATTGGATCTGCATACACTTTTTTCGAAATGTGCAAGACAGTGTTGCACATGAGTTTTGTTCTGAGCTTGAACAAATGTGCCAGATATATGGCATGGTAAAAAATAGTGGCTCTCTTTAAGGTATAAATGAAAATAAAACTTCTTATCTTCTTTAGCACTAGTTATCAATATGTGGTGGCTAACCTTTTTTTATTTCTTGACCAGGTGATCTGAAGAGAATTTGTGAGACTGAACTGTGAGTTCTCGCGCAATGCTGTTTGACAAAACATGTATTTAAGATGAGCAAACAGTATCTAGCCAATGTAGCTCTGAAAATAAATGTGAAGGTGGGAGGAAGAAACACTATTCTTGATGCAATAGCGAGGCGAATTCCCCTTGTTAGCGACTGTCCTACCATAAATTTGGTGCAGATGTCACTCACTCTCACCCTAGGGAGGACTCTAGCCCATCCATTGCCGCAGTATAGGAAACTTAATGACAAGGCAACAACATGCCAACCAGCAAACTGAATTCTCCATAGCAAAACTTACTGGGGTAAGAACAGGAGTGGCTCCAATTCAAAGTTTCTCCTAAGAGAGCATACAGAGTAATCCAGCTCCAGTACGTTATGTTGCTGCTGCTGCATGATGATCTTGTACGTACTTAAACTCTGGAAATACATAACCATTTTTGCTGAAGAGAGTATCAATCATATTCTTCGAAGCCTCAGGTGTCAATCGAAATCCATCCCTAATGTGTATACGAATCCCTATCTGAACACGCTACAACTCCTTTCTCTCCACACTGCTTCAGAGGTACTACCACAACAAACCCTCATCAACGTCTTAGACTTGAATCCCAAGAATGCATGATTGCGAATAATACCCATGAACGCCTTGTAATAATCTGCATATATGATCTCAACTTCAGGGTTACTTCAATCGCAGCTCCTCCAACGCTTGCCACAGATGATCATTGTGCAATGTTGCAAACAAATTTAGTCCTTTGTGACATTTAATTTTCCTGCTATTGTTGTTTTCGGGACATTATTTGGAAACCAGGCAGGAAACCCATGGGAATAATTCCAGAAACCACATAGTGTTTGGCCGATGCATCTTTGATCAGTTGTTCGATAGAACTCTTGATTGTGTCCACAACATCTGGGACAAGCTTGCACACTTCGGAAATAGATTTTGTATGCAAAAGAGAGTGCTTGTAATCATTAAAACCAGGCTGATCAATAAAGATAATAGCTTTCTAAAGAACTTTGTTCCTGCCGCAGTCATGAAAAGAGAAGCAATCCTTATAGAAGAGTTTCATGAATGCTGAAATCTGCTAGTGATGAGACTGCTGAGGCGCTGGGATGCCATTATATTCTTGATGAAGGAAAAGGGACTCATAACTGTTGCTCCAGGCGTCATTGTTGGGAATAAACCTCGTAAAAAATAATATTCACAGTACTAGTGATAAACGCGGAGCACTAAGTTATGGTTAAATCAACAAGAGTAAAAATGCAGCAATAATGACACCAAGATTTTACGTGGAAACCCTTCTGAATAAGGGAAAAAACCACGGCCAAGAAGAGCAATTGATATCACTATAGCGAGGAATTTTATATTGTGTAGTAACGAGTACAAATACTCCTAAGACCACTACACCCTCAAAAGAAAGAACACTCTTTTGCTTTTTCCATCTCACTACAATATCTCTCACTCTATTTTTCTTCACGGATTATTTTCTTATAGTCTATGGAATACCTTACTCTCTCTCACTCATAGAGGCGGATCCAGGATTTAAATCTTATGGGTTCAATTTTAAGGTTTTTAGTATTGAACCCATTATATTTTTAAAGTTATGGGTTCACATCTACATTTTTGTAATTTTATTGAATTTTTTCGTATAAATTTTTACTCCACGTCGAAAGTTATGGGTTTAATTGAACCCGTAGATACAACACTGCATCCGCCCCTGCTCACTCAGATGTATTGTATGAGATTTTGGTGTGTAGAAATGAGAGCCGAAGCTCTCCTTTTATAGGCGGAGCCTCTCTCTCTCACGCCTACTACATTTAATATTTTCCTTTTGCAGCCTACCCTTTTTGACAATGCAGAAGAAAAATATTTGCTACCAATTTTGAACAATCAACAAAAGGAAGAAAGTCTTCCTTAATTGATGGGATATACCCCACAAATCTCCCCCTCCAGTCCGGAGGTAACACCAAAGATTCTAGTTTGAGCGCATGCCGACAAGTTCTTTGCAAAGCTCGAACTTGTCTCTTGGTACCACCTTGGTTAACATATCAGTAGGATTATCACTCGTGTGAATCTTTTTGACCTGAAGTGATTCGTTCTCCACTTGCTCACGAATCCAATAATAGCTGACGTCGATGTGTTTTGTTCTCGCATGGTACATGAAGTTTTTGCTTAGGTCTATTGCACTCTATCTGTCGCAGTAGACAACATACTCCATCTGTCGCAATTTAGACTGCCATGATATAACTCCCCCTAAAAAAGTAAACAAATATTCAGTAGTAGATTTTCTGTTATCAAGGTCACCTGCATATCAGAATCTGTATAGCCCTTCAAAACTGGATTTGATCCTCCAAAACATAAGCATTCATGTGAGCTTCCTCTTAGATACCTGAGTATCCACTTTACAACTTCCCAATGCTCTTTTCCTGGATTTTCGAGAAATCTGGTAACAACACCGATTGCATGAGCAATATTTGGTCGAGTGCATAATATTGCATACATCAAACTTTCGACTGTAGAGGAATAAGGAAACTTGGACATTCTCTCTTTTTCCTCCGTTGTTGTAGGACACATCTTCATGCTCAACTTTAGATGACCAGGAAGGGGTGTGTGAACCAACTTAGCACTTTTCGTATTGAAGCGCTCCGTACACGTTCTATGTACTTCTCCTGTGACAAGTAAAGCTTCCTTTCGTTTCTCGAACGAGTAATTCTCATGCCTAAAATCTGCTTAGCATGACCCGAGTCTTTCATTGCAAAAGACTTATTCAACTGTTTCTTCAACTCGTCAGTCTTGGAAGCATTTCTGCCCACAATCAACATATCATCTACATATAGCAAGAGGATGATAAAGTCATCATCAGAAAGTCTTTGTACAAACACACAGTGATTTGAAGAAGTCTTCTTGTAGCCTTGCTCCCCCATAACAGACTCAAACTTCTTATACCACTGTCCGGGAGCTTGCTTCAATCCGTATAGACTCTTCTTAAGTTTGCATACAAGATTTTCTTTACCTTTTACCTTGAAGCCCTCAGGTTGTTCTATATAGATCTCCTCTTCTAAGTCACTGTGAAGAAAAGCAGTTTTCACATCCATCTGCTCAATCTCCAAATCAAGACTAGCAGTCAAACCAAGAACTGTCCGAATGAAGGACATTTTCACGACAGGAGAAAATATTTCATCAAAGTCAATACCTTTCCTTTGACCAAATCCCTTGACAACCAATCTAGCTTTGTATTTGGGCTTCAAACTATGTTATTCAGCTTTAACTTTGAACACCCACTTGTTTTTCAAAGCTCTCATGCCCCTAGGCAATTTCACCAACTCATAAGTATGGTTCTCATGTAGAGATTTCATCTCATCTTGCATGGATTCAATCCATTGATCCTTGTGCTCATCTTTTATGGCCTCCGCATAACATTCAGGTTCTCCTCCATCAGTGAGTAATACATACTCATTGGGTGAATAACAGGAGGAAGGAGTACGAGGTCTAGAAGACCTCCTGAGTGGAATATCTAACTCGTCCATAACTTCGTGAGTAGGAGCATCTACCTCATCAACATTAGCATTGTTATCACCATCACTATCAATATGCTGATCTGGAATATGGTTCTGGGAATCACCATCATCATTGAGCCCACCAACGTCATCCGTATTTGTATGAGGAACTTGATCAAGATTAACTAAACCTTCAGAACTTGGAGATTTTAGCTTCTTTGCTTTGTTAATATATTCAATGGTTTGATCCTCCACGAAGATAACATCACGACTTCTCACGACCTTCTTCTCAATTGGATCATATAGCCTGTAACCAAACTCATCAAGGCCATAACCAATGAAGATGCACTGCCTTGTCTTAACATTTAATTTTGACCTCTCATCTTTAGGCACATGTACAAAAGCTTTGCAACCAAACACTTTCAAGTGGTCATAGAAACATCCTTGCCATACCAAACTCTGTTTGGAACATCACTTTGCAAAGCAACCGTAGGGGATAGATTAATAACATGTGCGACGGTCAACAAAGCCTCACCCCAAAAGGAATTCGACAACTTTGCTTCAGAAAGCAAACATCTGACTCTTTCCATCAAGGTTATGTTCATCCTTTCTGCTAAACCATTAAGCTGAAGAGTCTTAGGAGGAGTCTTTTGGTGTCTGATACCCTGTTGCTTGCAGTATTCGTCAAACGGTCCACAATATTCACCACCGTTATCAGTACGAATACATTTCAGCTTCTTTCCAGTTTCTCTTTCAACTGAAGCCTGAAATTGCTTAAAGACACCCAACACTTGGTCTTTAGTCTTCAAGGTGTAGACCCAAAGTTTCCTTGAGCAATCATCAATAAAGGTAGCAAAATAAAGTGCACCACCCAAAGTTCTTGTCTTTATTGGGCCACATAAATCTGAATGCACCAACTCAAGCAACTCTGTCTTTCTTGAAGGAGGATGAGACTGGAAAGAAACTCTTTTATGTTTTCCAGCCAAGCAGTGCTCACATTTTTCTAATTTTGCACTTTCAAAATTTGACAACAATTTCTTCTTGGCCAGAACATTTAGCCCTTTCTCGCTAATGTGGCTAAGCCTCTTATGCCATAACGTTGAAGAGCTATTGCTTTCAATAGCATTCACCATATCAACACAAGTAGAGGCCGTAGTCCAGTATAGACCACGACATTTTTCCCTACGAGCCCCAATCATGGAACCCTTAGTGAGCTTCCACTTTCCAGCACCATTGGTACTGATATATCCCTCATCATCCAAAACACCAACATAGATCAAGTGCAAACGAACATCAGGTGCATGCTTTACATTGTTTAAAACTAGTTTAGTTCCAATACTAGTTTCCAAACAAATCGTTCCAACACCAGCCACCCTAGATACCGTCTCATTACCCATACTCAAAGTTCCAAAGTCACCTTGAGTATAAGATGAGAAAAATTCCTTCCTTGATGTCACATGAGATGCGACACCACTGTCCACAACCCAGCTTGACTCATCACAAGCAATATTTATCAGACCCGCATTAAGGATAGTAACAAGATCTTTTGTAGTGACGGTGGCCACACGATTTCCATCTTCTTTCTGTTCTTCCTTGTCTATATTCTCCTTTTTAAAAATCCGGCAGAACTTCTTTGTGTGCCCTTTCTTCCCGCAATGATAGCACTCAATATCTTTAAGTCTACTTCTGGATTTGCTTCTATTATGTTCTCTATTTTGAGAACCCCGATTCTTACTTCTTCCCCTAGAGTCAGTCACCAAGACATCTGATGAGGAGGAACCCTGAGATTTTCTTCTCATCTCTTTATTTAAAAGGCTGCTCTTGGCAAGATCCATAGAGATCACACCATCCAGAGTAGAATTTGATAATGAAGTTCTAAGAACTTCCCAAGAATCTGGTAGGGAACCAAGTAGAAACAAGCCTTGAATTTCTTCATCAAATTTAATGC